TAATTCTCTGAAATATTTCTACTTTTCCACTAATCTCTTATGATTTTTCTTGAGTTCGATGTCCACACATGTAGAATTTCTGACACAGGATTTGCAGCTCTGTTGCTTAACTTGAGAATTGCCACTAGTCATCAATAACACTTTCATGAAAGGTAATAGTTACCTTTTGCTTCTACTGCTTGTCCTCCAGACACCAATGAGCTAGGGCACAACACTGAAACAAGTATTCAGAAGATCCAGTATCTATAGCCCCTCTCAAATATCACAGCTGTGTTAAGATTTGATTGGAAACTTGCTCTACTTTGAGAATGATCATCTTGAAATTTTGGGTCAAAGATGGCTGTACTTGTGTGAACCATGTGTGGCTTCACTCACCACCAGTCTGATGTGGTAATAGTTCCACATCCACTGGACTTCCAGCAACTTCTCTACATAAACTGATTAAAGTAGTTTGCCTAAAAGGAATAAGATTTCTACCCTCCTTCAATAAATCCAATGATAATTGTAGCTCATGAGAATTTGGGAAGCTGAATGGTGGAGCACAATCATTTTACAGACTAATACTCCTGTAAATACCTTGTCCATTCCTTTCTCAGAGCAGCATCACTCTATAACACTATTTGTTTAATAATCATAAATAATAAACATTATTTGTTTAATAATCTTTCTGAAGGCTAGTGCATCTGCAGCCAGGCTGAACTGAGGACTGTCAGGGATAAAATTGGCACCCCAGTAAGATATTCACTGAATTAGAAAGTGCTTGTTCAGTACTTTATTTGATTATTCTGTTTCTAAACGTTTAGGAAATTATTTTCAAGGTTGAGAGTGTGCCAGATTCATTGCACTTAAAGACTTCTCTCCCACACACTGTAGTTATGTATTTTAAATCTCCCAGCTTCCACTGATCTCAGAGTGCCTCAGTTGTGACATGGACGCACTACATCAAGAAGCCAAAGAATGAATTTTCTAAGCTTTTAACCTTTCAGTCTACCTGCTGAGGTAGATTCCATAAGGTGCTATAAATAGGCGAAGTTGTTGTTGATGGTCTCAATGTGGAGACGGTTATCTGATAATCTGTGAAATTAGCAAATATAGGTTGGCAGTAACAAAATAAGACAGCTTCAAACTGATGATTTAGGGTCTCACTCTGAATCCATTTCTCCTAGGTCAGTGGTTCTCCAAATTCTATTAATAATATGAATGTTCTCCTAATGCAGATTCTTTAGGAGAGGCAGTCCCACACTTATTATAGGCTACTCCTTATGCCTAATTATAAGGAGTAGCCAACTATACCGTTAACTATAAGCCAGAGGCGGCAGTGCAGGATGGCAGGGGGCTCCCCGGGAGTGGGGCCGAGTGCAATGGCTGCTGGCCCCGCTCCCGGGGACTATGAAATAGCCATGTAACTAACAATATTTTGTGCAGTTACTTGATATCTAATATTTCTACTTATAATAATGTAACATCTTTGTAGAAAGTACAGCAACTGTTTACATAGTAAAGCAGGACTGATCATCTACTTTCAACTTACTTTTTTTAGTTGAAAAATTGACCAAAACATTTTTTTTTTGTGTGTGTGTGGAAGAACTGAAGCCCCAAACTCACAATATCCATCTTTGGATAGGCCACCAGTGCTGCAGTTTTGTTGCCTCAACTTGCTGATCTCTTCAGTGGCCACGCTTATCAGCTGTACTATAGCTGTTTTGAACAGCTAGTAATTCCCTCAGATGCCATGTGCCCCTGCCAGGTGGAGGAGACTTTGTGCTCTCCCCCTGTCCATAGGTCTTGATGGACCTGGGGGTGAGCGCAGCAGCAGGGTGGCCAAGGAAACTCGCATAAGTTAGTAAGGGGGAACTTTTTAAATAAAAGAAGCAAAAATGTTGAAGACAAGTGACCCTCTTATACCCCCAGTTTTTTAAAAAACAGGGCAACAGATATGAAATTAGCATCTTTGTACTAACTAGACTCTCTTCCCTCTGTTCCCCCTTCTTTCCGTTCTTCTGACTCTCAGAATATTTTCAGCAGAGGAATATGTTGAAACTAATAATCACTAGTACTGCACATTTCTCTCCCTTTTGAATAAGAGGTGGCAGCTTGCCTGGCTAGAGGGAGCATTGGCTGGGCTGGATGGTAGAGAAGACACTAAAAGAAAACGCCGGGGTCAATCTTCTAGGAACATAGCCCAGCCATGGCCAACCCTTGCCCTCCAAAAGTGCAGCTCGCGAAGCCGCTCCTGTGCCCTCCCCAAATGGTCCCCCCATGGCTTCCCTGTGCTTACTGGGTCAGATCTGGGTCAGATTTTAAAAATGGTGCCCAAGATGGCGGCTGTCTTAAAGGGGCAGCCTCCTTTAACTTTTTTAAATTTTTTTGTTTGTTTTTTGCTTGACAATTCTGTTCTGGGTTGTTTTTTTCCTTGACAATTCTGGTGTGGCTCTTCGCAGTTTTTCTGCTGCTGTTTTGGCTCTTTGTTAAACGGGTTGGCTACCCCTGGACTAGAAGCAGTGATGTCTTTAAAAGTTTCATAGTGGCTTCCATTGTAACCCCTTGTGTTCAGTCATGCAGGTTCAGGCCAAAATTCTTTAAAACACATGGAGGGTTTTGACTTAAAATTTCACCTTTTCTTCAGTGGGTATGTGTTCCTTAATGCAGTAACCTAACTCATAGTATAATCCTAGTGGAGATAACTTGTGTGCAAATTACATACTGCCTTAACAGGTTGATTTAATAGACTGAGTTAAAAAGCCTAATTAATGCACTTTGCACCATAATACACACAAGGAGGCAAGAAAATGCTTTTAACTTTGGTATTTTCTGAATTTTAAGCTAGGGGATAGGGGGGGACACACAAACTGCTAGGCTTTGGGGCTGGTGTGCAAGGGGAGTGTCTTTTCTGCTTCTCAGTTGGAGGCCATATCAGTGAGTAGGGGGTGTGGTTTTTCTTCTCACTTGTGTGGCTAAAACTGATTTTTTTTCTATTAGTGGCCCCTGATCCCTGCTTTATAGCCTCAGTGTCCCTTTTTAACAGGGTTTTGTTTTTCTGTGTAATTATGCTACATTCAAGAAAGATGTTAAGACCATTGTTTTTCAAGGAAAATGAAGCATTCAAGTTTTAGGAAATGCTGAGTGTAGGATTGCTGTGGATACCTTAACATTATATCTTTACATGTGCCCTAATTACATTGTCACTTTTTTTAGAGCTCCATTCAACACCTAGGATAGATAAGCAAAGGGACTAAAATTAAGGTTGCCGAGGCAACCGTAAATTTGAAACTTAACTATAAAGTCTGTGACTTTGTACCCTAAATAATGTTCTACTAATGTAAAGCTTCAGAAGGGTAGCCGAGTTAGTCTGTAATAGAAAAAACTTAAACAGTCTAGTAGCACCTTTAAAGACTAACAAAACATGTAGATGGTATCATGAGCTTTGGGTTGTGCTAGTAGACAGTTTTAAGTTTTTCTTGTAATGTAAAATAAGGTTTTCATGAGTGTAACTTCCTACACCAGGTTTTTAAGCTAAAATAGAAATTTATACTTGTAAAGGTTACAACTTCCCACTCTGACTGGTGTTTATATCCTTAATCGTCAGCACCGCAGGGCAGTGACTGCCCCTTAAACTACATAATTAATGACATTAGCTGAAAGTGTGAGGGATGTTTTCCCAGATGTAGAAATGGGTTGCTGGAGCCAGGTACTGGATCTGGGAGGTGCTGGAGGTGAGGAGGTCACCTGGCCTGGAAATATCTTCTCTTTCCGGCTCAGGAGCTGGGCAGGCTCCTGTTCCCTGGTGTGTGGTGCCAGAGTGAGGAAGGGCCTTTTGAGTCATGTTCTGGGTCCATAATGGTAGTCAGTTTTTCCCAGCTTTTCTCTGATCCTGCACAGCTATTTTGGCAGTTTCCAGTGCTGTCGTCAGCAGTTGCTCTTCATATGGTAGCATGGGCCCAGTGTTAGAATGCTTATTTGTATTCAGCTATCATTTGGACAGGCTGCTATAATTTCCCAAAAAATGAAGGGGAGAGAGTGACTGTTTTCAACAGTGCAATTCTCAATAAAAACGGAACAGACTAAATGGAACGAACAGAGGGTTTCTTCAAGTTCTAAAAATATTTTATAAGTTGGGCAACTAAAATATATAGGCCCCCGATAATGAATAAACGTCATTTTAATCTCTCAATATACTGAATAGATAAGGTGGTTGAGGTAATATCTTTTATGGAGCAACTTTTATTGATGGGAGAGACAGGCTTTAAAGAGCTTTTCTTTTGCTCCATGTAGGCGTGAAGACTTCTCTACCACCAACAGAAGTTGGTCCAGTATTGTTTTGTACACTTTGTTTCTCTAATATCCTGAGACTGTCAGGGCTACAGCAACACTGATGACACTGTATCTAAAATGGAACATAGCAAAATTACTAACTGGCTTGCAGTTTAAATGCCTAGAAGCAGAAGTTCATTGAAGTACTTGAGTTCTTTTCTACGTGAAGACTTCTCTACCACCAACAGAAGTTGGTCCAGTATTGTTTTGTACACTTTGTTTCTCTAATATCCTGAGACTGTCAGGGCTACAGCAACACTGATGACACTGTATCTAAAATGGAACATAGCAAAATTACTAACTGGCTTGCAGTTTAAATGCCTAGAAGCAGAAGTTCATTGAAGTACTTGAGTTCTTTTCTAAAT